CATATCAATCCTGGACCAAGATTGGTGTCTATTTGAGAAGAAGGTATAATCTTTTTTGTCTTTATTTCTATTTCTCCATATATCTTCTAAATCAAATTCTTTTTGAAGTTCTATAAATTTTTGTGGGAGTTTACCTTCCTTTGTTTTTCTTTTCTTCACACTTTTATCCATTTGGTGATCAATCACCCCGTTAAAATCTCCTACCAAAATCATATCATCAAATTCTACTTCTTTCAATTTAGAATTTAAGAATTCAGCAAATTTTGTCTTTGGACCATTTGGTGCATAAATATTACAGATCAAGATTTTCGAATCTCCAATAATTATCTTTACTGCAACGCATCTTCCTTCCAAATCTCTAAAAGCCAATTCTGATTCTATTGTTTCTTTTACATAGGTTACCACTCCTCTTTTCTTTTTCTCATATGACGAATGGTATTCTTTTCCTAATTTTTTATTGGGGAGGTGTGCAATGTGTTTATCACAGATATGCGTTTACTGTAGAGCTATTACATCATAGCTCAATTTCTTTAGACTATTCCATACTTTCTTACGTTTTTGAGGGGAATTCAAACCATTGATGTTGTTTGAAAAACATTTTATTTGGCGCTCCATCATATTATTCATTTCCATCCAGTCCCAGTCCCATGTCGCCAAAAGCCATTTCCACTAATCCGGTTGTCGATTGTTCCGCACTCTGACCTTCTTTTTCCTCTTTTCGTGGTGTCATTCTTGATGGTTTTGGGTCTTTCAAGAGATAACTATAATCCTTTGGTGATTTATACCTTGCCATTTTATTTTTGATTCCTTTTCTTGGAGTAGATAGTCTCCTTTCTTCATCTCCTTCTGCTTTGGCTCCTTCTTCTTCCTCAGCTTCTCCCATCTCTTTTTCTCCTTCCTTTTCTTTCATGAGTTTATCATAAAACACCTTGGCCTTATGTTCGGATGTTAACCAATGTCTTTCTTCATTATAAGTCACCATTATTCCTTCTCTTCTTTCCCACCTATATTTTATCTCTCTCTTTTTCAATTCTTCTGTTAAAAAAAATATTTCCTTCTTCTCGCTAAGGTCATCTGAGGAAATTCCTTCAAAACCGCAATTTTCTTTTCTTTGTAAAAAATTGGATTTCTATTACTTTTGTACAAAACGTCATCTCTCACCTTCTTGTAAATTTTACGATCACATCTCTTGCAGTTTTATTCCTTCTTGCATAAAATGATGAAATCCTATAAATTTGGTCCACCTCTTGTTCAAATTCATCCTCCTCACATTCCATACAACTTGCCAACATTTTAATTACCATTTGTCTTATATCTTCTTTGTCATCCTCCACTATATTTCTGAGTCTCAGTTGAAAGTCCATTTGCATTTGCAGTAATCTCTCTTGTTCTAATTCCATTTTCTCCCTTTGTTTGTCCAATCCTTTTATCTTCTGTGCCATTTCTGTTTGAGTTTCCTCAATTTTCTCTTTAGAAGCTTTTAATTCTTTCACTTCCCCATGTAGTTGTGATACATCTTTTTTTATCTGGCCAAATTCTTGCTTTATTTCAGTTTTCATTGCCTTAAATTCTTCTGTCATCTTGGTAATAATTCCTTCTTGTTTCTTATAGTATTCCTCATGTTTAGCCGTAACCTCCTCCTTCAATTCCACCTTTAATGTGTCTTGTTTTTCCGATATCTTTTTTATTTCTTTCAGCAGATTGTCCATTTTTGGGTTTATGTCCAGGGATCCCCTCCGGGATTCTGATTTACCTTGAGTTGTCATTTCGGGCCACTTCCTCGACTTCTTCTTATATCTTGTCAAATCAGCAGTGTCGTAACTTTTCACTTTCTAGCATCTACCAAGTTCCAATTCATAAATCTTAATTTTTAAATTCATAAAAAAGTAATTTAATTCATAAATTTTTAATTACTAGACCAATTAATGTCTCTTGTTTCCAATTCATTAGCTTACTTAAATTATTTAATTTGATTTAGTACTCCAAATATCCAAATATTAAGTTTTAATAATTAATTAATTGACACTAAATTGATAAAAGATGGGATCCAATGGATTAAGTGTATATAAAAAGGAATTTCTACTTTCTACTTCTCCACTTCTCTTCTTCAATTTGACTCCTTCCAACACGTCTGCTTCTCGTCCTCGATTTATCTAATTTCGTCTGCTTCTCGTCCTCGTCTGTAGTGCCAAATTCGTCTACTTCTCTTCCTCGCCTCCTCCTTTCGATCGTCTGCTTCTCTTCCTCGTACCATCTGCTTCTCGTCCTCGATTTATCTCCTCCTGCCCTCTGCTTCTCCTCCGGATCTTCAGACTCTCCACTTAAGCTTTGATTCTATATTAATTAATCAATTTAATCTTTTTATTTCAAATTTCCTCCCAATTTTACTCTGGCTGCTCTATATCGGACTTTCTCTATGGTTTTCCAAAATGGCATCTTTCCTCCTTCCGCTCCGTCACTTCCGCCCTTCCGTCCTTTCTTTATCCCTTCCGGCCTTCTCGTCCTTCACTTTAGGTTGCCTTCCGTTTTCGTCACTTCCTTCCCCGCCAACACAGCCTGTTTGTTTATAAAGAAGGCTGGAGATAGACACAACAACTATGGCGTCAAGGTCGGCAAGTTTCTCGCTTTGTCACTTTTCTTTTCTTTCCAATCTGGGGGGGGGGAGTGGGAGAAAAAATAGCTCCGTCTTCGTCCACTTTAATTTAAATTGAATAGAGCGGCCTTTTTCTTATAATTTAATAATTGAATTTAATAGTCCAAATTGCCAAATTATAGTATTTAAAATCTTAAACCAATCATCCAATTCCAGACTTCTTTTGATTAAATTTGTCTACCAGAAAGCCAAATGGTGTAATCAGCTCCTCTTTAATTTCTACGACTTCTTTTCTTTCTTTGTCTCTCTATCTCTCTATATTCTCCCCCAAGCTATTTCTAGCTTGGCTAATTTCTTCTTTAAAAATCTGGGAACTTATTCCCGTTACCTGAGGTTGGGGTCTTTCTTGTGTCTCCCCCCGATTTGGGGTTTCTTAATTTCTTCTTTCTTCTTCTGAGTAGGAATGGATTGGCAGCGGTTAGACGAACCTTGCGGTTCGATCCTCGTGTGGTGGCTCGCTTTCCCCTGTGTTGCTCGAACCCTCTCGACCTCTCCTCCTTGAGGGGGGAGAGATCTTTGGGGTCTCAAGCCCACTTTAG